AGAAAACAGCAAGTGTTGCTGAAGTTGTGGAGAAATCAGAATGTCATACACTGCTGATGGAAATAAAAACTGGTGCAGCCATTTTGGAAAACAGTCTAGCATTTTCTCAAACAATTTAATCATGGAATTATCATATGACCTAAAATTCCACCCCTCAGTGTATGAAATGAAAACATGTCAACACCAAAAATTTGTACATAACTATTCATAGTAGCATTATTCATAATAGCCAAAAGTTGGAAACAATCAAAATGTCTGTCAATGGACAAACAGTTAAAATATGGTATAGCCACACAATGGGTTATTAATGGGTCATGGAAAGCAATGAGGTACTGAAATATTCTATCACATGGATAAAGCTTGAAAAATTGTGCTAAGTAAAAAAAAAAAAAAAAAAAAAAAAAAAAGAAAGAAAGAAAAAAGAAAACAGTCACAAGAGAGTTCATGCTGTATAATTCCACTCATGTGAAAGTCCAGAATGGGAAAATCAATAGAGACAGAAAGTAGATTAGTGGTCGCTTAGGGAATGTGGGGTTAAGGAAGTGATTGCTAAAGGATATGGGATTGTCCTCAGGCAACAACAAGGTAGTGAGGGAAATAGCCATTTTTTTAAATATCATAAAAACAACAAACACCACAGAAACATTGCATATAAACCCACTATGAGAAGTGCTATGAAAGAAAAGATTCAGTTCAATGAGATATACTAGCAAGAACCTGGGTTCAAATGGGAAGCCAAAGCAGGCTTTGCTGAGGAAGAAGTTACAGCTTTTTATCTGAGAACTGAAGGCTGCTGTGTGTAAAGTATGGCGGGAAAATGTGTGGAAAGTGTGTTCTATTTAGAATAGTTTGAGTGAAGAGCTAAAAGAAAAAAAAAATATTTTCCCAGATTGTACATGATTCAGCTTATTTCAGTGCAAAGGCTCAAAAGGCAGGCAACAGATCTGAACTCCTCAGTGGTCAATACTCCAATATATCTACTACATTTTTTTCATTTTTAAAGTTTAAAGCCACATTGATTTATGATATTGTTTTTATTTTATTTTATGTATTTTTTATTATGTTCAGTTAGCCAACATACAGTACATCACTAGTTTTTGATATAGTGTTCAATGATCTGTTAGTTGCATATAACACCCAGTGCTCATCACATCACGTGCCCTCCTCAATACCCATTGCCCAGTTATCCCATCCCCCTACCCCCCTGCCTTCTGTAACCCTCACTTTGGTACTCAGAGTCCAGAGTTTCTCATGGTTTGTCTCCCTCTCTGATTTCTTCCCATTCAGTTTTCTCTCTCTTCCGCTGTGGTCTTCTGCACTATTCCTGATATTCCACATATGAGTGAAACCACATGATAATTGTCTTTCTCTTCTTGACTTATTTCACTTAGCATAACCCCTTCAGTTCAATCCATGTTGATGCAAATGATAAGTATTGTTTAGCTCTTCTTGCCATATATATTTTATTACTTTGGGGGTTTTTTGCAGCATGGTGTATAATTTATCAAGAGAAACACTTGGGCATTTATGATTTGCTGGAATTTACATGAACAATCTTTGGGCCACTGCAGAACCAGAAATCAAAGTGTGAAACGGGTATGTGTATTCCCCAGCTAAGCATGCGAACCTACACAGGCTGTGTCATCCTGTGAGGAACAAAGGAAATAGTCATTTCCAAAATCTTTGGATTGTAGATTTAGAAAATATCAAAGATCATTTAGTCCTAATATTGTATGTTTTATTGTGGACAAATATAGAAAAAAAAGACAAAAACAAAACAAAATAAAACAAACTTGCTGCTTTCTTTTATAAACATTCGTTGTGATACAGAATTTGGTTCAGCAGTTATTTGCACTTATATTATGAATAGAATCTTTTGGAAATGGGACTCACTAAAATAATTTTATTTAGGGGCACCTGGGTGGCTCAGTTGGTTAAACATCTGCCTTTGTCGCAGGTCATGATTCCAGGATCCTGGTATAGAATCCCACCTCGAGCTTCCCACTCAGCCGAGAGCTTGCTTCTCCTTCTGCCTGCCACTCCCCCTGCTTGTGCTCACTCTCTCTCTCTCTCTCTGACAAATAAATAAATAAAATCTTAAAAATAAGATAAAAATAATTTAATTTAACTGCTAGCTATAAGTTCTCAAAGTTCTCTATTCTGTTATGAGAACAACTACACAATGGAAGCAAGAACTGTCTCCGTATTTTTTAAGTGTTTGACATTTTTTTTGCAAGTGACTGTTGTCAGGAGTTTGGATTTGCTATGTTCATGTTTAAGTTCACCCCCTTCTTTTCTAAGACTAAAAAATATATCTCAACATATCTGTGCATTCATATATTTACAGTTGTGTAAAGCTGAGTATGGATCAAGAAAAACATTATCTTAAAAAAGCAAAACCACTTCTTACAGTGCTGTATTTTCCTCATTGTCCATTGGCTAATATTCAACATCTAGTATCTTTAACATTGAATGCAAAGCCTTTTACAACTCAGGCAAGTTTTATCCTCTCTTTTTATTTATTTATTTATTTATTTAATTTCTTTTCAGCGTAACAGTATTCATTGTTTTTGCAGCACACCCAGTGCTCCATGCAATCCGTGCCCTCTCTAATACTCACCACCTGGTTCCCCCAACCCCTGACCCCCCGCCCTTTCAAAACCCTCAGATTGTTTTTCAGAGTCCATAGTCTCTCATGGTTCACCTCCCCTTCCAATTTCCCTCAACTCCCTTCTTCTCTCCATCCCCTTGTCCTCCATGCTATTTGTTAGGCTCCACAAATAAGTGAAACCATGTGATAATTGACTCTCTCTGCTTGACTTATTTCACTCAGCATAATCTCTTCCAGTCCCATCCATGTTTCTACAAAAGTTGAGTATTCATCCTTTCTAATAGATGCATAATACTCCATAGTGTATATGGACCACATCTTCCTTAT